ACGATCTATTTGATTTACCAAACACTCAAAATAGAGACAAGGATTGTTATTTATTGCATAAATTCAAATGATCAGAGATTATGAATATGACATTAATATTAAACTTGTGTTTTGTTTCAGTTTGACTTAAAATTGCGAACGTATATTTAATGGTAATTTGACTTTTTTATCTCCTTAATATCAGCGGTACAGAATCTTCCTCGTACGCCCCCGCGCGGGTGGGAGCAAGTTTTTGTTTCTTGGGAAGATTCTGCACCTCTGCTTAATATAGAATATCATATCAATGAAAAGTCATGATATATATATAAAGGTTTCATCAATTTATAATTAATCGCGTTGTTTTTATATGAACAAAACTCTTATAAGACATTCTTTTCCGTATTATTTTTCTTTTATTCTAATAAGTTGATACACTGTAAGTAAAATTCATTTGAAATTAACTATACAAAAATATTTTGTAATAATATGAAGCACTGAAGATGATTCAATGATGTCACTGTTTATAAGATATAATATTTTTTATTCTAACAATAACATAAAACTACTTGAAGAGTTGTACTTTGACATGATATGACTAATGCATTATGAGCCATTTGTTATTTTCTGTTCTTGATTAACTTTTAATGTGTCATATCAGTGAGATAAGATATGATAAATAGAGACAACATTCGTATTCAAATGTTAAATTTTTTAGTATAAAATAACTCATTTTTTTCTATTGTAATAAAGGCGTTTTTCGTTTTTTGATTCTCAATGTTCAACGACATCTAAGCTTTTAACTTTCATAAAATTAATGAATATATGTGTATTTACATATATATATATATATAGAATGGACTAGACTTTTTCTTCCTCTTTGCTTTCTTTCACTTATTGTACATGATGTAGTCTGCCGAATGCATATTAATTTTATTCACAATTCGCTCTTCGAGATTGAGGTCAACATAGGATAATACTGTTAACAGATTGTCTATTTGCTGTGCATTTATTTTTTTTACATGACTTTTTTTGTCATTCGTAATTCTAACTTTAAAAAGAAACAGTCACATTTATCTTTTTCTTTCAGTATTAACTATTTACCCCTATATTATTCATCGTAGTTACATAAGGACATGAGTAAAGGAATGACGTGAATAGGAGTCTTGCGTGTTGTTTTTTTTTCTTTTTCTTCTTCGCTCCACTTTATTCATACATATATACAACGTATTTTAACTATAAATTTTGTTTTTCTTCTATTAGAATAAGAAATATAACCGTGAGACATTATATTTGCTTTTGTTCCCAATGATTCTAGTAAGATATCTTTCAGAATATAAATTTATAAAACACTACAGAGAATATGGCAACATCAACAACTTACAAAGATGAAAGTCGTCCATTTGCTAGTAATAGTAAGTTTTTTATATTGTAAGATTTTTAACAGAGTCAAAAATAATTTTTATTTTCTAGCTGGAACACGTCCTATGAATCCAACATCTATTCAAATGTCAAATCTTACATGTAATTTTTTAGGAGTTTATATATTTACGTCAATATTTATATTTATTAAATAGCTGAAGATCCACGTCAATCAGCAAATGATGGTGTAGGAGCTTGTGGATGGATATTAGTTATACTCTCATATTTTTTGGTTCTTATTACATTTCCATTTTCATTATGTATTTGCATCAAGGTTTGTTTTTTAAGAAGAATTTTTCCTGAGTTTATGAATTTTGTTATGGTATAGGTTGTTCAAGAATATGAACGTGCTGTTATTCTTCGTCTTGGTCGTATTCTACCAGGTATTAAAACATTTGTTATAGACTAAGCTCAAATATTTTCACAGGCTATCTAGAACAAGTTTCATCGTTAGAATATACACGAAATAATATAGACATAAATTCAGCGAATAATTCCGAAAAATATTCTCTGTTCTTAGTTTCATTAAATCTGATCAATCGAATCAAGATGTATATATTCATCTACATACTATTTTTTGTTTTATAAAGGTGGTGCCAAAGGTCCTGGCCTATTTTTTATTTTACCTTGTATTGATACAATCATAAAAGTTGATCTACGAACAGCAACATTTAATGTTCCACCTCAAGAAGTAATTAATTTTCTTTAAACTGTTATTAAATTTTCTTTAAAATTATTTTATTAGGTCTTAACACGTGATTCAGTTACTGTTTCAGTCGATGCTGTTGTTTATAGTCGTGTTTATAATCCAGTAAATATAATAGAAAACTAGTAAAACTTGAAGGTACAATATTTCTTTTAAGGTCATCAGTGTGACAAATGTTAAAGATACACAATATGCAACACAATTACTCGCACAAACAACACTAAGAAATATTCTTGGTACAAAATCGCTTCAAGAAATTCTTTGTGATCGAGAAATTATTGCACAGAGTATGCAAGGTCATTTAGATGAAGGAACTGAGCCATGGGGTGTGAAAGTTGAACGTGTTGAAATGTAATGATTATTTATATATCTATTTTGATAAATATAAATTTATTTGTATTTATAGTAAGGATGTTCGTTTACCACAATCCATGCAACGATCAATGGCTGCAGAAGCTGAAGCAAGTCGCGAAGCACGTGCTAAAGTTATTGCTGCAGAAGGTGAACAAAAAGCATCAAGACAACTAAAAGAAGCTGCTGATGTTATTGCAGAATCACCAATTGCTTTACAATTACGTTATCTACAAACGTTAACACATATTTCAGCTGAGAAAAATTCAACAATCATTTTTCCAATACCTGGTTAGTTGTTTTGTTTATTTTATTTATATTACTGAGTTTTGTTTTCTTTTTAGTTGAATTACTCAATTTAGTAAAACGATAAACATAAAAGAGCTATGAAACAATCAGAACGTGGAACATATATATATATATGTATTACCTTTTTTTGGATTTTGCTATATGTAATCTTTCTTTTGTTTATTTAACATTATCAAAATGATTAATACCTATATACTATAATATGAATATTAATATTAATTCTGATTAATGATAGAAGGAATATACTTTAATGAATGATTTGTAAAGAATAAAATATGTCAGTAATATGATAAGAGAAAGATTTGCTAGAATATCAGGTGATAAGAAGCCATATTTTTGTTTTTGAATAGATGTGCCTTTCAATTCTCTAGAATGTAATCGATTTCAAGATTTACGATTAGTATATTATATAGTGCTCTGTCAAGGTTAATTCATACTGAGAAGTCGATTATATGGTTTCATAAAGGAAAATTTTGCTCTACAAAATCTACTGTATCATATAGAGCATTTGAATAAATTGTCATGAATCAGTTCTGAATTAGAAAATTGATAAATAAATATAAGAGCAAGATAAGATCTTCATACGTGACAGGATTTATTTATTAGTTTTTCAAAATAGTATTCAATTTAGAAGATGGTATTTCTGGAAAATTCAAGATTTCTTTTAACACTACAGTTACATTATGAAATTGAGAGGAATATGAATGAATAATTTGTTCGTATATAGTTTTATCATGTTGTAAAAGGAGACATTCAATTCAATTAACATTCTTATTTTTAAATAATGCAAAAAAAATCAATAGTCACTTATATTTCATAATAAATAATATGAAGTCGATCTATATTAATGACTATGATGAAAATATTTTGCTATTGTAAAAGCGTAGTTTACTTTCAATAAATGATCAATAATAATAATATTTACATAACGTCAAGTGTGTTAGTTTTGCTTTTTACATTTATGAATATCAAATCGATTTTTTTCGTACACATATGAAAGTTTATCCCATGTAATATGGGCAAGTATTTAGCGCTTTCAAATTTTGCAATGAGAAAAACAAGATATCTTTGTTTTTCTTCTACGTATAAATGAGAATGATAGTATGTAAAAATACTTTAACCACCTTTTTATTCAACTTTTCTACCAATAGAAAGAACATCTAGAATATTTTTGATGCGCAGTGCGCACTTCATCAAAGTTTTCTAAAGAACAAAAATACAAGTTGCTTTTTATAGTCATAAAGTGGGTGATGAGGCCATGTGTAAGTAAACATTTTTATTATTGGAATAAACAGAAAAGAATGCCGCATGGTTTATTTTTCTGACATCGGTGACGTCCGATATACGGTGGAATACGTCGGAGATCAAATAAATAAAGAATCTTTGAATTATTTTTTTTATGACACTCTACAGAACAACGTTTCTGATGTATATAAAATCATCAGTAACACTATAATTATTTGTGAAAGGAGAGAAACAAATTTCTTAGAAACTAAACATTAGTTATAGTTTGATATAAAAGAAGAGAAAAATCATTTTCTATACTGGTTCAAAGAACAATATGGCAACGACGACATCATTGAAACATGAAGTTTATGCACTGCGTAACGGAAGTTAGTATGCTTGTAATAGAATACAAAAAAAGAAGAATCAATCTGCATTATTTTAAGATTGTATGCAGCCAACTGATGAGACAATGGCGTCTAATCAGACAACAAAAATTGTAACTAGGAAACCATCTGAGATGATACCTCCCATTTGAGTTTATAGTGTAGATAAAAATTCTAAAAGAATTTGTCCCCAAACTCTGTTATTGTTGAAATATTGCATTTGTAAGATATCGATAAATC